GCTTGAATGCAGACACATCAACATCAGTGTCTCTGTGTTTTAGGTTAAAAAAAACCTAAACATTAAAATAACACAGACTAAATAAAATAACTCATGCACGTTCATATTCCCCGCTGCCGTAACGTTAACAGTTTTATTAAAATGCTAGGCATTTAGCCCTATGTGACGTCTGTTTTTATATTGTTTATCAACAGTATACATTTTTATATTGTTTGGATTAACTAGCCGAGTAGACAGATATGAATGTTTATTCATAACCATACTGAAAATAAGTAAATATTGTTAGCTGATGCTAACTGTCTAGCTAACAAGCTTGCTGGTGCTAAGTTGAGGTAATTTTTAGATATAAAGTCCAAATATTTGTATTCAACCACCTAGATAGATTACATCTGGGGGGAAAGAAAGGATGTGATGTTCAGAACATGGTAACTACAGTAATTATCAAAGTGGGAAGTGATGCCCTCTGGGGGCATTTGGCCAGGGGTGTGTTTACACCACAGACAAGGTTTGAGAAGAAAAAAACATTATGAAAATATAATTATATTTTCCCTAAAATGTTCTTCCTAACTTCAGGCCTTATTCTCAAGTCATATAGAACCGAGATGTTCTGCAAAACAACAAGCTTTAAAACACTTTTTTTTTGGTGAAAATCAGATTTTCTCTCAGGTACTTCGCAGTGTAAGCTTCATAGTGAACATTACTACATCACTCCCGTCAACGTAGTCCATATCAACAACAAAAATATATCTTGACTCCATATAGTGGTTATTTTGGGAAAATCCCAGGTATTTTGAGCAGTAGGATAATAAAAATATGTGCTAATAATATAAAATTAAATTAAGTAGCCTATATAAAATTGCAAAATAAATCTATCAGTACTTTTACTTAAGTACATAAAAAATCAAATACTTTTACTGGAGTAATATTTTATTATACGTATCTGTACTTTTACTCGAGTACTTGATTTGTGTACTTCGTCCACCACTGATGGCTATAGTCAGTGGTTAAATATTAGGAGGGGGAACTATTTCCTAGACATCAGTAGTATTGGTTTTCAGTCATAAAAAGATGTCATTAAACAAATATTAAAAATATGCTGTCTTTATGTTTTCTACATTAATTTGAAGATTGAATGTGAAATTATAGCATATTATATAGTATATTTAAAAACTTTAATGTTAGGTGGGATTAATCACAATTAATTGTGATTAATTTCAGAAAAACTGTGTGATTTAATTAGATCATTTATTTTAATCAGTTGACAGTACTAAAATGTTGTCCATATAATGAAAGTAGTTTACAGTAGGAAAGTCAAAATGAAAATTCTGTCTTCATTCTGTCATCACCCTCATGTCATTCCAAACCTGTATTCATTTGTTTCTTGTGTGTAACTTGCAGGAAGAGATTTTGAAAAATGTCTCCATGTTTTTGAAAGTTCAATGGAGTTCAATGTTGTTTCAACACTAATGCTCTTCAAAATATTTTTGGAAACACTTGCGTAATTCCATTCATGACTATTAAATGGTACTGACCCCCATCCCCACTTTAGTGAGAGTCTACCATTTTATGCCATTGTACAAGGTCTAAATTTCAAGGGCTTCATATCAAATATTCACTAAGAGTTCCGTAATTACGGTGGCCGAGAGAGCTCAACGCGCTGCAATTTAAGAAAACACATGCAAATTGAAAAAACACCAGCAAATTAAGAAAACATCTTCATCAGTTTGACAATTGCAGCGTTTCTTCATTTGCATGTGTTGTGAGGATTTGCAGTGTTTCTTCATTTGCATGTGTTGTGAGGATTTGCAGCGGGTGTGTTGTCAAACTGATGAAGATGTTTTCTTAATTTGCTGGTGTTTTTTCAATTTGCATGTGTTTTCTTAAGTTGCAGCGCGTTGAGCTCTCTCGGCCACCGTGTAATAGTACTAATAAACCAAATGTGTTTATCATCAATACGTACAAATTAGTTTCAATCTCATACATTGTAACTAACTGAATCTTGCTTGTTTCACAGCTAGCCATATTTTAACCATGTTCATACTTTTATACTCAATACATTTAAATGATTTAACAATAAACGTTTATGCTGATTCCAAGCAAACTGAATGTATGCATTTTGAAAATGTTAGTTTTTTTTATTTTGCTAAAGTTTTTAAGACAAACTTTACTGCTTTTACATGAACAAAGTGCTTCTGTAATGGAGCTGGTCTCCGCAGGTGCTCACACACCCAGTGGGACAAAATCACACAACATTAAAATATTGTTTGAACAAAGTGCATTGGTATCAGTTTATAAATCTTACACTTAAATTAAATGATGCTGTGAATGCTTAAAAATGAGGTGTGTATGTCATGTTCAGGTGTATTTGAAAATATACATACATAAATATATACAAAAAATATTTTGACATTTTGGAGTCACACAAATGTCTAAAATTGATTCATTTTGTGTTATGAAAGTACAGTTGCATTATTCATTTAATTTTGTCACTCTATTTAGTGATATTTGCCTTTTTATTTGTGGAGAGATGCATTAAAAAGAAAGAAGTAGTACAGAAGGGTTTTCTTATGTTCTACAGAGCTCCACATCTCCTAGTAAGAGCCAGTCAGACAATTCTGCCAAACTCTGCAGTAGGAAGGACAAGCCAGCCATACTGGACCTGTACATCCCTCCACCTCCATCAGTGCCTTACACACCACGGTGAGACTGGATGCTGTTGTCACCAAGAAAACCTTTGTGAATGTTCTGTTGTAACAAGTAGCAGTGTAATACCTCTAAAAATATCATGGTATTTTGATTCTGATAAATATTCTGTTCATGGGATGTATCAAAGTACAGTGGTGTTACTATTAGACTCCATCACTTTTCCACGGTACCAACATAGTACTTTTCCATTGCATTTCTGAACTTAACTCCAAAGAAGTTAAAAGAGTAGTTCACCTAAAAATGAAAATTTGTTGAAAATGTACTCACCTTCAGGCCATTCAAGATTTAGATGAGTTTGTTTCTTGATCAGAACATATTTGGAGAAATGTAGCATTACATCACTTGCTCACCAATGGATGCTCTGCAGTGAATGGGTGCCGTCAGAATGAGAGTCCAAACAGCTGGTAAAAACACAATAATCCACAAGTAATCCATACGACTTCAGTCCATCAATTAACATCTTGTGAAGCGAAAAGCCACCTGTTTTTAAGAAGCAAATCCACTGTTAAGATGTTTTTAAGTTCAAATGAGTCCTCTATCCATAATATTGCTTTTTGTCCAGTGTTATCTCTTCTGAATCAGGAGTGAAATATGCACAGATCAAGCACCAAAACAGTTCTACACAAATATGTAAGTGTATTTTGATGTAAGAGGACAACAGGGGATGAATTTGTTCACTGGAGGAAGCCTTATTATGGATTATGGACTCGTGTTTTTGCCAGGAGCAACGGTTTCGAGATAAAACGCCTTGATGTTTGATTTGTTTCTTACAAACGCAGCTTTTCGTTTCACAAAATATTCATCTTTGGGTGAACTATTCCTTTAAACATGATTTTTTTTTTTTTTTTTATTCCTGCTGATTAAATAAGCTTTTGTCATTGATTTGTTTCTTACAAACGCAGCTTTTCGTTTCACAAAATATTCATCTTTGGGTGAACTATTCCTTTAAACATGATTTTTTTTTTATTTTTTATTCCTGCTGATTAAATAAGCTTTTGTCCTCTGTTACAGGGAAGTACGGAACAGTTCATACACCAGCCTTAATGCCAGACCTAAAGGCTCGGAGTCCCCAAACTCCTTCCTGGACCTGGAGAGCCACCGGCGCTTCACCATTGCGGACTATGACAAACTGTCCATTCAACCAGTTGAGGTCAGCATACAGATGCGTCCAAGAGGAAGATCCTCATCACAAGGTCATTATTTCAGAAAAAAAAAATCTGATTTAAAAGTTTCAGATTCACATTCATCTATTTTTTATTTTCATCATTGCAGTGTAGCTTAAAGGGGTCATATGATGTGATTTCAAGTTTTCCTTTCTCTTTGGAGTGTTGCAAGCTGTTAGTGAATAGAAAAGATCCCTAAAGTTGCAAAGACTAAAGTCTCAAACCCAAAGAGATATTCTTTATAAAAGTTAAGACTCATCCACGCCCTCCTAAAACGCCTTGTTTAAACACGCCCCCACGTTTACATCACTATGTGGGAAGATTTGTATAACACCGCCCAAATGTTCACGCAAAGAAAGAAGGTGTAACTTTGATTCTCGCTGTAGTATTGATGCCCTTCCAAAAGAGGACACAACTAGAAATCAGTGGTTAAGTTGTATTTACAACACTGTTCCAGAACAGTTTAACCCAAATATTCAGATGTGTGCAGCACATTTTATGGAGGACTGTTTCCTGATCCTGGTAGAGTAGAATACAATGCCGGCTGTTCTGAATCACGGATTGTAAGTACGTTTTTTATATTTAAATTATTTGCCACTGATGATTCAAACGTGAGTTTTGAGCAGTGTAGAGTAGCGCTTGTTGTTTGTCATTTCTCTGATCACAAATGCAGATATGGTTTTATGTTTACACGGCGCAATGCAACGCAACGCGTAAAAAGACAGTATAAGTCTTTATAATCAGTAATTATGTCCCCACTGGATGCAACAAATGCCTCGTTTGTAATGGGTTTTATTAGTTTTGTCTCGTCGCTCCGGGACACAGCATCACAGTATGGTTTAAGGGGCATAACATTTCCGTCACACGCTTGAGGTATTCGGGCCAATCACAACGCACTGGATAGCTGGCCAATCAGAGCACACCTCACTTTTCAGAACGATGAGCTTTGTAAAAATCGATGCGTTTTAGAAAGGCGGGGCATAGAGGAGAAACAATGATGTACAGTATGTGGAAAATAATGTGTTTTTTTTACATTCAACCACATAAACACATTTCATTACACCAAATACACAAAATAATGTTATTTTTTAGCAACGCCATATGACCCCTTTAAATTGAACCCATTTTTGATTTCCTCTTGTATGTTTACATGTATGGTGTGTGTATGTATGTGTGGTTCGCACAGGTAAACCACGACCTCTGTCAGTGCCTTCGGGTACATGTTTGAGCATGGCAGACGTGTATGCAGAGCCCTGGACACAGGGGCGAAAAGGTACATAACACATTCACACCAATCCAGTTTAACCACTTCAGAGGCCTCAAAGACACAAGGAGAATTTGTGTTTTTTTGTTGTTGTTGTTTTGTTTTTTAACTGGAAAAAAAAAGCACCCAGGATTGAATTCAGAACATTACAGAACACAATATCCTCCAAAAACTAACATAGACTTCAGTTTGTAAAATCCAAGGAATAAGGTGCACAGTAACGCTCTTACAATCCAATTTATGTAACACTCAAACATAAATGTGTTCTAAGCAAAATCCAAAGTTATAATCCAGTCTATTTAGCTTGTAAAGCTGGTAACTTTCACATGGCATATGCAATGTGAAGTCGTGGGGAAGTCGTGGCCTAATGGTTAGAGAGTCGGACTCATAACCCAAAGGCTGTGGGTTCGAGTCTCGTACCGGCAGGGATTGTAGGGGGGGGGGGGGAATGTACAGCGCTCTCTTCCACCTTCAATACCACGACTGAGGTGCCCTTGAGCAAGGCACCGAACCCCCCAACTGCTCCCCGGGCGCCGCAGCATAAATGGCTGCCCACTGCTCCGGGTGTGTGTTCACGGTTTGTGTGTGTTCACTGCTGTGTGTGTGCACTTTGGATGGGTAAATGCAGAGCACTAATTCCAAGTATGGGTCACCATACTTGGCCACATGTCACTTCACTTCACTTTCACTTTCAAGGCTGCCAAAAAGGACATGTAAAGTAATGTAGCATGATGTTTATTTTGCTCAGCTGGTAGCACATGCCATTAGCAGCATCGAGGTTATAGATTTGATTCCCTGGAAACAAACTAACTATTAAAAATGTGTACCTTAAAAGCCCTGTAAGCTGTGACAGTAAAGACTTTTATATCATTACAAAAAAAATAGATTTAAAAAAATGCATTGTTTTTTTTACTTTCTATTCATCAAAGAATCCTGAACAAACATTTGTCACGTTTTTCACAGAAATATGAAGCAGCAAAAGCTGTTCAATGGTGTATATATTCCGAGTATTCCTCCAGCAGTAACGTGAGCAGCTGCGGCGTGAGCAGTCTGTGGCGACACCGGAAACGCTGACAATCGCCTCGCTTCGTAAATAATGTTTCACGTTCAAATGGAAGATTACACATATGGTAGAGTATCGTCTAAGACTAAATAGACCGTTTGAAATACTGAGGTTTATTGTCAAGTTCAACAAAGTTAGTTTAATTCTCTTGTCAAAATTTGCTGAAGCCCATTGACATAATGCAGGCAGAAATTATTTTACGCTAACTAATCGAAGCCAGATGTGACGACACGCAGACTGTGAAAAAAAAGGCCTATACAGCTGTTCATGAATATATATTACATTTGAAAATATATTCAACATTCATTTGTTCTAGGGCTTTGAAAACATCTGTAATTACATGCATCTTTTAATCTTGTGGTCTAGGTGAAGATCTTCTGTACAGATACCTAAGCAACGAACGCATACCAACTATCTCTGAGGAGGCCCCGGGCCCAGGCTCATCTTACAAGTTCACAGTCGAAAGACCCGCTTATGTGATCGACTACTCGAGGAACAGCCGATTCCTTGTCAGTGCGGATCTGTCGTCACATGTGCGTGTCGCAGACTGTGAAAAAAAAGGCCTATACAGCTGTTCATGAATATATATTACATTTGAAAATATATTCAACATTCATTTGTTCTAGGGCTTTGAAAACATCTGTAATTACATGCATCTTTTAATCTTGTGGTCTAGGTGAAGATCTTCTGTACAGATACCTAAGCAACGAACGCATACCAACTATCTCTGAGGAGGCCCCGGGCCCAGGCTCATCTTACAAGTTCACAGTCGAAAGACCCGCTTATGTGATCGACTACTCGAGGAACAGCCGATTCCTTGTCAGTGCGGATCTACACAACAGCGCCACCATACCATATCAAGAGGACTTAGTCAAAAAGACCCCCATGACATCCACCCCCAAACGACCCCCCACAGAGCCCTCGCTACTGGTCAGTTGGAACACACGGCTTAAGCTATTGACTCACTTATGTCAGCTTGCCTAAACCCTTTGTCCAGCTGTGTGCAGTGACTCCTTTCTCGTGTACTTTTTCATGCTTTCACTCTCCTTTCGGGATATTTCTTTGTGCCTTTAATTTGTCTACATTACCACTTGACTAAATTGCCTAGAATGTGTCTAAAACTACTAGAATTTAACCTCAGAAAAGTGCAGATTTAAAAATTCTATAGAAAAGAGGACCAAGAGAAAGTTTTTGATTTGCATGCAGTGACACTTGAGGTAAAATAGTAACATAAATGTTTATGAAATCACAAGAAATGATGTTTGACATAACACAGCTTTTTGGTGACATTTGTTCAAGAGGTACTCGTCTTAAACCTACAGTGAGAATTGTGTGGCATTTTTACAATAATTTAAAAAGTAAAACAACTTCAGAAAGTAATTAACAATTACCAGTGATTGTTCCTTGTAAAGGCGCTTCATGGCTTTGTGTTTTTTAAATCCATTTGTCTTTGTGAGAACCAAACAGTGAATGACTTCTCAAAACTAGGGAGTAGTTTTCTCTTATTCTCTGTTCCTTTCCTTTTACATTAATCTTTCTAACTGTTTCTGTGTTTTGCCTGTCTATTAGTCCAACTTACCCTAATAATTTTGCTTAAAGGGGTCATATGATGCTGCTAAAAAGACAAAACATTATTTAGTGTATTTGGTGTAATGAAATGTGTTTATGCGGTTTAAAGTTAAAAAAACACATTATTGTTTCTCCTCTATGCCCCGCCTTTCTGAAACGCGTTGATTTTTACAAAGCTCATCGCTCTGAAAAAGCGAGGTGTGCTGTGATTGGCCAGCTATCCAATGCTTTGTGATTGGCTGAATACCTCAAGCATGAGACCGAAATGTTACGCCCCTCATATACTGTTGATGCCGTGTCCCGGCCAGAGCGACGAGACAAAAACATTAAAACCCATTATAAACGAGGCATTTGTTGGATCCAGTGGGGACATAATTACTGATTATAATGACTTATACTGTCTTTTTACGCGTTGCGTTGCATTGCATCGCGCCACGTAAACATAAAACCATGTCTGCATTTGTGATCGGAGAAATGACAAACTACAAGTGCTACTCCACACTGCTCAAAACTCACGTTTGAATCATCAGTGGCAAATCCTTTAAATGAAAACGTACTTACAGTCTGAGTCAGAACAGCCGGCATTTTAGTCTAACGCTACTCTCCCAGGATCAGTAAACCGTCCTCCATAAAATGTGCTGCACACATCTGGATATTTGGGTTAAACTGTTCTGGAACAGTGTTGTAAATACAACTTAACCACTGATTTGTAGTCGTGTCCTCTTTTGGAAGACCAAACAAAGTAGTTTCACTTTCACAACGAAACACACAGCGGCCTAGCGTGAGGGGAAGCCCCGGCTTAGCATGTGCTGAGACCGGGATAGAGTGAGCTGAGGCCGGGCTAGAGTAAGCTGAGGCCAGGCTAGCGTGAGGGGAAGCCTCGGCTTAGCGTGCGCTGAGGCCGGACTAGAGTGAGCTGAGGCGGCGGGGTCGAGAACCGTGCGCCCAGCAGATTCCGACGAATGAGCGGCAACCACATGTGACGACCCCGGGCTGAACATTGAAATCGCATCATATGACCCCTTTAATATTTAATTCATTCTGGCCTCTTCAGTTTTCCCATATTTTCTGCTTTGCCCTTAAAATCTGAAATCTGCTTGTTGGAAAAACGCTCACTGAAATGTATATCTATTGAAGAAATGCATTGATCTTTGCTGAACAAGTAATGTGCTCTGGCTTTGCATGGAATGTAATTTTACTCTTTTTGCTTAGACATTGTAATCTGATCATATCTGTTGTCTTAAATCTTTTTTTATCTGATATATACAATAATTAGTCTGTAAAAAAACTGTAGCTTTTGACACACAAACACCACCAGTATAGAGTGCCCATCCACTTCTACATTAACTCATTGTTCAGAAGAAAGGGAATGAAAGATGAAATGTTGAAGCAGAGAACAGAGCACAGAAGCACAGTGGTTTTGCCCATGTTGAAGCATATATTAACTGTTCTTTATGTCCTGCCACAGGATCCCGACTGGACCTCCAACAACGCATTCATCAACAGGTGGGTGCAGAACTAAGTGACACGTCCATCCCGGCCTCTTTAGAGCAGTGCACATTCACTGTGAGCTAAAACAAAAGCGCAGGAAGAATCTCTACCAGCTAGTTTTTGCTAAGTTATCAGGAATGTATTTTTCCTGCCAGGATGCATGATGCTCTGTGGACTCGCTGCTCCTTTGTGTATATTTATAGCAAGCAATAGTGAGTGACATCATGGTTTAAATTCCCCAAGCACCAAAAACAGAGACAACCCCATGATCTGGAACGGTTACCATTAGGTAGTATATCGTTATTTTTCATAATTTTGTTTAGTTTGTAATTGCAGTTTAAAACCAAAGCAGGTATTTTGGTAATATTCGACAATGAGGCTTGTTAAGATGTTAGCTAACATGAACAGTACTTCTACAGCATTTATTAATCTTAGTCACTAGTCATTTTAATGTTTACTAATTTAATTAAATTTTTTAAATAAAACATCTGTTAGCATTAATTGATGCACTATGAACTAGCATGAGAAAACAATGAACAACTGTATTTTGATAAACATTAACAAAGATAAACAACAGAAAAAAGTTTAAAAGAATAAAAAAAGCAAATTGCTCATAGTTCATGATAGCTAATGCATTAATTAATGGCAATGAATGGGACATTATTATAAAGTGTTACCAATGTTCAATTGTTAGAGACATCTTGGGATAGTTCCAAATGGAAATAAAAACAGGACTGATATAAACACTGTTGGTTCCTTGTCGTAAGGAATGAAGTGGTGTGATTTCTCTAAACAGAGCTAATTAATCCTTTTATTGTTTTCATAGGCATTTCTCTTAGAATTGTTTTCCCTGTGTGTACAACACAAACTATATAAATATAAATATTGTTAAGTAAAAAATACATGTAAATTTCAAGATCATTGAAGCAATTCAAATTTGAAGCATCACCTAAATTACCGGCCCCCAAGTCTGCCTCACAAAGATTACCTTGACTGTAAAATAACTCAATGTGGCAATATTGTTCAGGGGCTATGTGTCTGTCTGTCCATTGTCAGTGTTGGAAACTTATTTGGTGCCACTAAAGCTACAGAAATGACCCACTTCACATTTAATTTGATTAACATTTTTAATCATTTGACAGTCTTACTAATAATGCACCCATTCAGTATTGTTGGCTTTTATTGGGTTGCATTAAGTGACAAGGCTTGCAAAATAAATCTCTAAATAAGTAAACAGAAAACAGAGAGACAATCAAATATCTACAACAACTCAGAAATAGAAATCAAGTACTTGAGTAAAAGTACAGGTACATATAATAAAATATTACTCCAGTAAAAGTAAAACTACTTTTTCACTGCGAAGTACCTGAGAGAAAACAGATTTGATCTGATTTTCACCAGTAAGAACAAAGTGTTTTAAAGCTTGTTGTTTTGCAGAACATCTCCGTTATATATGACTTGAGAATAAGGCCTGAAGTTAGGAAGAACATTTTGGGGAAAATATAATTATATTTTCATAATGATTTGTTTCTTCTCAAACCTTGTCTGTGGTGTAAAAACACCCCTGGCCAAATGCCCCCAGAGGGCATCACTTATAACACAGATAATTACTGTAGTTACCATGTTCTGAACATCACATCCTTTCTTTCCCACCAGATGTAATCTATCTAGGAGGTTGAATAAAAATATTTGGACTTTATATCTAAAAATTACCTCAACTTAGCACCAGCAAGCTTGCTAGCTAGACAGTTAGCATCAGCTAACAATATTTACTTATTTTCAGTATGGTTATGAATAAACATTCATATCTGTCTACTCGGCTAGTTAATCCAAACAATATAAAAATTGATACTGTTGATAAACAATATAAAAACAGACATCACATAGGGCTAAATGCGTAGCATTTTAATAAAACTGTTAACGTTACGGCAGCGGGGAATATGAACGTGCATTAGTTATTTTAATCTGTGTTATTTTAATGTTTCGTTTTTTTTAACCTAAAACATAAATACACTGATGTTGATGTGTCTGCATTCAAGCATTTCAGCGGGCTTAAACAGATCACCCTTTACAGCAGATTTAGTTCACAAACAACTGACAGTTTTGACCTAAATATGATTTTCAGTTACAATAATTAATCCTAAAATTC